TTCACGCTCTCAGTGCATTTCTTTCGTCTATCATTCTTCCGTTCTCAATTACATAGGACATCAGGCAAGTTATGGGGATAATCTTTATTTGTCACACACCTTCTGTGGGGCAATAAACAATGCAGGGTGGAAGTGAGGCACGACAAGCTCGGTGTCTGCCTGATTGTAAACAACCGGGCGGCTGGCGCTTATTTCAGGGTTCTTATTGACAAAACCACTCAACTCTTGGTGGCTCTTAATGGAGGGTCAAATGTACCAAATTTTCACTGAGTGGCTCTTAATTGAGGGTGGCGCTTATTTGCGGGTTTTTACGGTATGTCAATATATTTCTCTGTAACTTTTCACATTTTTGAACAAAAAAAATATTAAAATTAGCTCATCTGGTCCAATATGAATATGACCTCATCACAGAACTCTTTCCAAGATCACTTACCTTCTGTCCATTTCCCTGGTTGGCATAGTGATGCAGTGAAGAATCTCGCTTCAAGTTGAATTCTCGTAGAACATCATCAGGAGCACCGAACAGTAACTGATAAAAAGAATGGAAGTTCCTCTCGCCTTTCTGCTGTCGTACTACACGAGACTGCAAATAAATGAATATTAAAACGTAAGCTCCTAAAGTCTCATAAAATAAGTTGGAATACATCGTTTTAGCAATGTTGTAACCAACACACACTGAAGTCAGTAAAAGGGGTACACGGAATGGTGGGCAGTTACGTACCATAAATGCTCTATTAGAAGTGCATGTGGTTTTTACTAATAGCTTAAATGCACTTAGAGCAAATGCAGTATTTGATGTGAAAATTGTTAACAACGACATCGGCTATTAAAGAAAACAACATTTTACCCCAATACCTTGTGACCTTCATTATAAGTACAGACAAGGCAGAAAGGTACACCTGTATGGAAAGCACATATATCCCTTTTAACCAGCTTTATTTTTTACATTCTGTTCTAATTTCAAATATGAATCTTAATAGTATATGAGGAAAGTCAAATTTAGCCTGCTTTAAATGAGGATAAAACCTATGAGCAGGCTGTTTGAAATTTTCAAGAAAAAACTTTATATTATATATATATATATATATGTATATTGTTCATTTTCCAATCGAAGGTGGCTGCTGAAGAATAGGATAAAACCTATGAGCAGGCTGTTTGAAATTTTCAAGAAAAAACTTTATATTATATATATATATATACACCGGTATATGTATATTGTTCATTTTCCAATCGAAGGTGGCTGCTGAAGTCAGGTTTAACGCATCCATGGGTAAAAAGTTCTTGTATCCCTGTTCTTCTTAATTGCACGTAGTTATGTATCTGATAGAACTTTCACTTGGCAAAAATTGTTGGTGCTTTTAAAATAACCACATTTTTTACTATTTAGCCTGGTACATTATTAACAAATGAATAACTAAAAATAAGATACAATGTATTTATAGTGATACAATATTGTGTAAAACAACATGGTATTTTAATTGGTTGAAAAGAATAATGGAATAAAAAAAATATTTATAATATGATATTTGAATATTTTAAAATATTATAGTTGACATTTTTTCATTTTTTTACGAGTTTTGGTTTCACCTTGCCAATGATCCGCATTATTGTCCTACAACAAAAGATCAATTTAAATGAGGTCATTATTGTCACAATTAACCTTTTTTTACACACGCATACATTAAACATACACGTATAAGTTGGTGTACAACGTACCTTTTCAAGCAGATAGTTGTTTATGTGTCCTCCAATTGGATCGCCTTTGAAGTCAAAGTTAATATCCATATATTTGCCAAACCGACTGGAATTGTCATTACGATTGGTCTTGGCATTACCGAAGGATTCTAAAATGGCATTGGATTGTAGTAAAACATTCTTCACTCTGTAGGAGACCAAGTACAAAAAAACGATTCATTATTCAACATTTATGAATACAATAACAATTCTATCAAGACAAGCCATTGACGTATTGTGAAATACTTTATTTTAGCTGGATTTAATTTTCACTGAAAATACTTTTTGGAATTTTTGTATAGAGTAATTGTTGATGAGTTGAATGTAAAAAATAAGAAAAAAGGTATTTTCACTAAATTTTATTTTCACTATATCATGCCTTCAGTATTTTACAGTATTAGAATTTTTCAAGCAGACAGATCTTATGTGGTACATTGGTTTAGAAGAGAGGAAATTTTGCATAGAAGCGAGGGAATTTTGCATAGAAGCGAGAGAATTTTGCATAGAAGCGAAAGAATTTTGCATAGAAGCGAGAGAATTTTGCATA